GTACGACTTACAGTGAACTAGGTTTTTCGAAATTCTCATTTTGACTTTTTTTTCCATCAGAGTAAGAGTTTTTTTTTCGAAAGTAGCGATGTTTTATAAAATTTGAGTAAAGATAATTTGGGTCGAGAAATCCGAATGTGTAATCGACATTTCCAAGTTCTGAATTTAATTTTTTTTTGCCAAATGGTTCTATTATGAAAAATAATGTTCCAATAAAAAAAAATTGCTTGAATAAAACATCATTTTCTCTGGAAAAAAGTTTTTTTTTGTAAATAAATGAATTTTTTAAAATTTGGTTTGAAAAAAATAATCCTTTTTCTACTAGAAAAAGCAGTTTTTTCGCAACACATTAAACATCGAACTTCGAGAAATCAATGAAAGATTCGGATTTCTCCAGACTAATGCTTTTGGCCGAATTTGTTAAAAAATATACACATTTTCGTAAAAGAAGCCTTTTCCTGGCCAACAAAAAAATCAAGCTCAAAACTTGGAAAAATCAACTACACTTTAAACCGCCATGGATTGATATCAACTAATATAAACCAGTGGTAGCCTGATACCGGTTACTGATAAGTCTAGTCCCAATGAGGACCATCTATCATCACCGTTGCATGTCTAGCTATAATATCTGATCTTATTGTTCATATATGTTTGTATAGATATGGAATGATTATAGTTAAGATGGAAACCAGAAGAGTTTGGTAATATTCAAACACTACGAATACCAAACACACAAATTTGAACATCAGACATTTTCCTATACAACACGTTATTATTTTGCAAAGAATATATTTCTTGAAAAATGATGTTTTTCTTTTTTAAGTGCCGATGAAAAGTTTGATACTAGAGTGAGAATCAATGCCGTTGTACAACATAATGATGATATACAATATGTTCTACCAGTATTATTCAAATCAAATTGTCCATTTAATATTGCTGCATTTCCATTTGTAAGTATCAAAAAAATATGTCACTCATATCGTACGTTTATCTTGAATATTTGTGTTTTTTTTGAATACACAACATTGTACGCTGAAATTTGGAACTTGGACATATGATGATGATGGTATATGATTGAATCATTTTGTTTCTAGGACGAAATACCAAATGTTTCCGCATATCATATGCCTTTTCAATACTTAGGTATCAATCTGACAGCAGAAAGTAACAAAGGTCAATTGAATGCATACGTCAAAAGTGCAGAATGGGAGATCTAGAAGGTAGTGAATATAGATTATGTGCATTTTATTCTATTCATTCCCTTTCAGATTTCTCTGCAACGAACAATCGTACCAAATACGACTGTTGTCCGAATGTGTATCCATATGTACTATACACTATTCGAATACATCGACGTTCTCTTTATTATATTATAAATACCGTTGGTAATAAAATACAAATTACAATATTGTTTTCTAATCTTTGAATTGATATTATTGTTATTTCATTTCATAGTACCTTGTTTTCTTATTAGTTATATGACACTACTCGGATTTTTATTACTACTAGATAGTGGTGATAAAATAACCTTGAGTAAGTTAGAATTTGATAATAAAAAAAAAAGTTGTTTTTATATATTCTAAATCTTCAGAAATTACAACTCTTCTAAGTATTGTTATGTTCAGTTTACTTCTATCGGAAATTAAGCCACCAAGTTCAAATGCTAGACCAATTAATACCGTATATTTCATGTGTGTTATGATTATGTCAGTGGTATCAGTTATTGTATCAATATTAGTATTATCACTTCATTTTCGAAACTCTAAAAGTTATACAATGCCATTATGGGTAAATCATATTTCAAAATGAATAAATCATGTGATTCTAGAAATCATTTCAGGTTCGTAAGTATATTTGTAATTATTTGGCATGGCTATTACGTAAAAAGCGTCCTAATCATGATTTTAGTTGGCGCGCCATTCGTCGTCGATGTACTTCTACAAAACAACAATTGAATAATCATAGATGAATCGATTGATGATCATCCTTCTAAGATTCCTTCGGAACCATTGTTGGATAATGCGATCGAGTTATTATTGACCAACGTTCTGAATATTGATAGAGAACATTTTGAGTTCCAAGAAAATCGAGAAAAACATCGCCCATATTCGCTATTACATTATGCTGCACCTCCAACAATGAACACACACCATCCACGTCATCATCAGAATACATTGAAAGAATTGAATACATATGATATGGAAATTATTTGTTCTGGGCTACGTGTTATTATTTCACAGCTTGCTATTCTTACTAGTTATTTTCAAAAACAAGAGAAAGAAGATGATGATTCTCAAGAATGGAAATTTGTGGCAAGGGTCTTTGATCGTCCTTGTCTAGTGGTTTTTGCTGTATTCATGATTCTTTTTACTACACTTACTTTTCTCAATATGAAACTTTTTTTTTTAACTTCAATTTATTCTTTTCTATTTATTACAGAACCACCCTTTATCTTAGTCTTTCCTTGTACCTTAAATATATATAAACTCTATAGAGAAAATATTTGCAAATATATGCAAACTGTTCGACGAATGAAATCTGACCGTACTACGTACAAGATGAATCTGAATAGCTTAGACTGAATTAATGATATCATATCTGCTAGTATAGATTTTTTCTTTAGTTTTCTTTCAACTGTGTTGATTACTGTTGTTAAATTGAGGACATATTTGATTGTCTTTGGATATCAGAAAAGACAAATATAAAAAAAAACTATGTTTCCGATTTCACTCACATAGAATACTGCAAAACAAATTATTTATTTGATACCTTGATTCAGTTTTAAAAAGGAGTGAGTTTCATCAACATTTAATCACTCTGAAAAACCGAAGTTGAAAGGCTTTTTATATTCCTTGCTTATAAATATCTCAGTTATTCCTTACGGATCATTTTAAGCAACAATAATTATAGGTTCACATTATCAAACCAAAAACTTTTGATTTTATTTTTCTTTGTCAATATAAATAAAAAGTGTAATGTTAAATTTTTCGTTTTTTTGACCATCGTCAGAACTTGATCTATATAATAAATAATCTAAATATATATAATTCACAATCGTAATCATAATCGATTTTGTTGATAAAACTTGATTTAAAACTTTACTCAAAATGATGATATTATTAGTGATCGTGGTCGTGGCTCAAGTTATATCAACAACATCCTTTATAGTTGTGATTGTGAATTATACATATTTACAATATTCATTATATACATCAAGTTCTGACGACGGTCAAAAAGACCAAAAACTTAACATTACAAAAAAGTTTTTCATTATTATTGGAAAAGAAAAAAAATAATAAAGTTTTTGATTTGAAAATTTGAACCTATAGATATTGTCGCTCAAAACGATCCATAAATTGTCATTACAAAATCCATGTTTATTCGTATTCAGGTGTGAGTTTGCATCTTGTTTTAACCCACATCCACACCCTATTCGGCGATGAATGCTAAGGGGAAAAAACGCATTTATGAATATGAACTGACCAAAATACTTTATTTAAAACTATCGAGCGCATTATTCAATATCAGTTGACTATGATATACGTGCCAGCGAGACTTCAATTGCTACCATTGTAGTTGATGGTGGATATTCGAAATGAATGAGCGGAAGAAATAAAGTAAGGCAATTGCTTGTGTCCGTAGCGCCTTGTTCAAGATCCTGTAAAAGAATGACTCACGAGTATATCACAACAACACTTTATCTGGCGAATAAGCGCATTGAAACTCATGAAGAATGATAAGTTGTCTTTGATTGCCTTCATATTCTTTCTCAAGGAGAGAGATGAGTTCATCATAGTCTGTTTTATGGGGTGTGGGTGTGCGAAAAGAACATTCACAGTCACAGCCATACCTACATCCAACACGGTTAGAATTGTAGTAAGCACGGGCAGCCATTAAAGGTGTGGGATTTATTGGTCTTTTTTTGTTCTAATTTCTCTATAAATTATTTCTTTGTCGAACCAAAAATATTCTTGTCATAGATATCTTCAAGTCTCATATTATTTTCTATTATGTTCTGTTTTTCTGAGTTCATATGCATTTTTCTTTAGTGTCATTATAAAAAAAGCCAACTGACGCACAAAGAAAATTTCAATAATAATATCCTTTTCACATAAATTTAAGAGCAACATCAGCTTGTAGATTCATTGTTAAACAAAACTGCTCTGGGCGCCCCGATCTTCTGTATCGTGTTGATCGTATATTGTAACTTCGAATAATCATTCTATATCTGAATACTAACTGTTTGTTTCTTTATAGTTATGGTTGCTTTAACAATGGATATCTCAACATACTACGAGTTGATATTTGTTCTTGTTATTACTTGCTTTTCAATCCAGATCAAGTCATCCATAGGATGTGGTTATGATGTAAGACAGTTCGCAAAGACATTTTTGAGTTCCATAAAATATGACCTTTGTTTCAGACATGCAATTTAGGTGATCCGAATAAGCTCAATGTTCACATCGTTGCACATACACATGATGATGTTGGATGGCTGAAAACAATCGATCAATATTACTATGGATGTATGTAAATATATTTCGAATTGTTTCGTTATATTGTGTAGATCTTAAACTACATGATAAATTATAATATATTCTTTAATAACAAGATTATCCATAAAATATATAAACATTATTTTTTATCTTTCTCGAAAATTTTTATCTAATGTTTACGAGTCTTAAGTTAAGAAACGAATAAATTGTATATTGTATTGAAGTTATAGCATCAAAACAAAAACTGACAAGGTCAATAAAAAGTAACAAAAAGGGCTTAAACTTCCTTACTATTTGATAAATACCAAAAATTTGTTTGAACTGACATCATTGAATAACAGTAAAAGTAATTAGAACTGCATGTTATTGATAAGTTTGATAGCACAAAAAAATTTTAACCTTTTATTTAACGACTAGTTCATGAAGAATATGTATATATTTTTTTTCTATTAAGCTCACAATTATATTCACCGTGCTGGAGTAAAATATAAACTTGATTCGGTTATGCATGCACTCGACGAAAATCCTGATCGACGTTTCATTTATGTTGAAATAGGCTTTTTCCGGCGTTGGTGGAATCATCAAACTAAAGATATGCAAAACAAAGTGAAAAAGTTTGTTAATGAAGGTAAAATTATTTCAAATTATATTCTTTTACAAAATAAAATATTTTATTCGAAGGTCGTCTTGAATTTATTTCTGGTGGTTGGTGTATGAATGATGAAGCATCAACTCATTACAGTTCTATTATTGATCAACATAGCTTAGGTGCTGAATTTTTACATGAACAATTTGGTGAATGTGGTCGACCAAAAATCGGTTGGCAAATCGATCCATTTGGTCATTCACGTGAACAAGCTTCAATTTTTGCACTAGTGAATTTCGTACAAGTATTTAAGTATTTTCATAGAAAAGCTTGATTTTAGATGGGTTTTGATGGTTTGTTTCTTGGTCGTATTGATCATGAAGATTATACGACACGTTTTAGAACAAAAACTATGGAAATGGTTTGGAAAGCAAGTTCTAACTTGGGTGAGTGAAAAATAAATGATTGTAGTTTGAATCTAAATTGAACTAAATGATAAATTAAAAATCTATCGATATTTCAGATCGTCAAAGTTGGTTATTTACTGGTGTTTTACCTAATCGATATGTTCCACCAGACTCGTTCTGTTTTGATCAAAGATGTTCAAATGATCCTATCATGGTCAGTAGCAGTATTCGTTGATTTGTTCTTAATCTTGACCACTTGTTTCTTTTTTTTTGCTAACGTGTAGCAGAAAAAACTTCAAAATGACTTAAACAAGTGTGTTTTTAAGAGTGACATAATCGCATATAGTTAATTTTGCTAGGTAGTTGTCCATTAACTAGGAGCAACAAGGTATCTAAGAATAATTTTATCAAGACCATATTTTCGGGCCAACAAAAAGGAGCACTAGATTACGCGATCGATTTCAATCGATATTTAGAATAAGAATAATTTTTATATTTATTGCTTTTTTTTCTCTGAAGATCTCCACTGTATGAAGTATGTATTGTTTTCATGTTATTATCATAAACTATTGTATACAAGTTTTTCACAAGTCAATTGTCTTTGAAGTGTTGTTTGTGAAAGAGAAAAGTTGTATTAATCTGTACTATTTATTATAGGATGATCCTCATTTCCACGATTACAACGTCCATGAGCGTGTTCAAACATTCATTCAAGCTGCTTATGATGAGGTTCGTATGTCATAATAAATAGTAAAAAGATAAAATGGAATGTGTCAATGTAATAAACTCATATGTATAAACAAACTGTTAATTTTTGAGCGACAGAAAAGACGCTTACCTATGTCTGACAGAGAACCTTATTCAATATAGCAGGGTCGAATCTTTTATGAGGTGAGTGAAATATTCAAAAATTTTTAATATTCATGAAAATAACAATGCAATATGAATAGCTTTGTGAAATCTTAATATTTCGTTTTAATCACATCTGAATTCAAAATATATCATAATTTATACATCTTTTGAAATGATTGATGCCTTGAACAAAGAACAACATGATTTTATTGTTAAAAAACGAAAGATAACGATGAATATCTAAAATGAACTGTATAAAAAGTCTAGAAAATAAAGTTTTTTGCTGTTTAATGATTTAAAAATACTTTAATTAGTAACACATAATGACAATCATCTTTTCTTCTATAGGCACAAGGTTATGCTACTAATCATATAATTATGACTTTTGGTGGCGATTTTCATTATGAAATTGCACATGAAGCTTTTAAAAATATAGACAAATTGATTGAATATGTTAACGCTGAGGTATATATATTTGTTTAAGCTTTCTTCCAAACAAATTATGCTATTGTTTTCTATAAATATAAACTTAGCAAGTTAATGGTAGCATTATTAACGTTTTCTATTCAACACCATCATGTTATTTATATGCTTTGAATAAAGTTGATCGTGCTTGGACTACGAAAACTGATGACTTTTTTCCGTATGCTCGTTATTCTAATGGATATTGGACAGGTTATTTTACTTCACGAGCAACTTTGAAACGATATGAACGCCATTCAAATAATATTTTACAAGCTACACGACAACTCAATGCATTTGCTAATCTAAATGAACGAAATAATCTATTTGTTTTAAGTAAAGTATATTTCATTTTTAAATTTATACTAAAATAATTTGAATGTTATGAAATAAAGGTGACGCAATGGGTATTGTTCAACATCATGACGCTATTACTGGTACAGAAACAGAAGAGGTTGCTTTTGATTATGCTCAACGATTGTCCAATGGCATTGGTGTAGCCGAAGTATGTTGAAATAATTGGTTTTGTTGAATTTATTTATATTTTCGAAAAAAATAGTGAATATTAAGTTAAATTTTTCATAACAATGGGAAACGAAGCGTCAGTTATAATAGTAACTAGATCTTCAAAATTAGTCTAAGAATTTCAAATTTCGACTGTGAATTCTTACTGGTCTAAATATTTCGGATTCTTGCATTTAACACTACGAAATTTGGTCAGTGAATCCACGATATGAAGAATAAAATTACATATGCCAATTAGTAAAGTATCTATTATATATATGTTATGTTAAGATGCAAAGAAGTTATGTTATGAAGATGCATCTGACAATACAACTAAATATTTTTGGTATAGTGATATTAAATAATATCTAATTAATTCATCGAATAATAGTTCTGAATGCAAATATTTTCGAAATGACAAAGTTTCCAAGCACATGTGTCAGATATGAAAAGTGTATTATTCTTGATTTATTCATTTATGCGGTATTCTGTCTAAATAAATTAGCTTGACTTCTCTAACAGTGTACTATATACTCATGATAACCAATATAATAAAACATTGAAGGAGTATAATATGTTCGAGTGAGCGAATATATTTCTAAAAAATATTAGTGTACGCATTAACTTAAGGATTTTTGACTAGATAAATAGAAATAACATATCATTGTCTTTATTCTCCTATCAAAATATAATGAATGTTGTTTAGTGAAAAAATATAAAACATGTTGTACCGAAACAAATTTTCTATTTCTTGAGTTTCGAACGTCTTTTTTCTTGTATAAATTGTAATATGCTTCAATATGTATTTACCTATTACTTTAAAGAATTAAAATTTTTATCTCTATTTAGAATGTCATCAATAAAGCTTATTCTAAACTTTTACCTAAAGATGGTCGGTCTCCACCAGCATCGAATCAATTTCTTTGTCAATTATCAAACATCAGTCAATGTTTAGAAATCGATGGACAAGAACGCGTAAAGATATCATTATCTTATTTGTTTTTATTTTTTGTTTCTTGGAATAGTTTACGTTGACACTTTGGAATCCAACCATTCATCCAATTGTTCAACATGCTCGTGTACCTGTTAAAACAGATTATACAATTCGTGACCCAACAGGACAAACAGTTTTGTCTGAGGTAATTGAAAAGAAAATATAATTTGTTGACAATTTTTCTTGTTTCAGCTAATCCCTGTTTCACAAGCAATACAGAACATTCCAGGTCGAACAAGTATTACCCAAAAACAAATTATTTTCAAAGCTAGTTTACCAGCTCTTGGTTTTAGCACATACTATTTCGAAAAGAAACGTGAGGCGCTTTATTTTTACTATTCTTTCAATTTTCTTAGAAACAAAATTTTTTTTTTTTTTAAACAGATGGAGAGGAGCAAAAACAGTCTAAAATAAACATTACATATAATGAAGCATGCGTTTTACAAAATCAAGTAAGATAAGAAATCAAATACAGGATGGCTCAAAAGTCGCTTTATCGAAAAAGAATTGAATATCTCCATTACGACTCGAGCAAATGAGCTGATTTTTTTATGAATGATAGAGGCCTATTCAAGCTTTATGTCCACAAAAACATTTACTTTGTTACGTATATGGAAAAACAATGTTCTCTGAAGGACCAGTTTATCAAGAGATGCTATGTAAATAATCAAATGAACATCTGACTGTCACTCACCTTTCATTTATACATCTTTTCTCGTTTCTTTCTACGATAGCCTACATGGATAGTCTGAGTGATGCTTCTGATCATATTTGTGTAACATTTGTTTATCTCTTTGTTGTGTTTTCTCGATCATTCTTGTCCATATTGGTTCTTCATTTTTTATCATATTCTCAGAGCGTAACTCTAGTTGAGGGTTCATGTGTTTGCTGATGCAAAGGTAGGATAGAAAAAAAAGAACAGACACGACAAGGTAGATCCAAAGAGTACAAAAAAGAGATAAACAGATGTTACACAAATATGATCAGAAGCATCATTCAGACTATGCATGTGGGTTATCGTAGAAAGGAACGAGAAAAGATGTATAAATAAAAGGTGCGTGACAGTCAGATGTTCATTTGATTATTTACATTGCATCTCTTGATAAATTGATCCTTCAGAGTACATTGTTTTTTTCCTATCTGTAACAAAGAAAATGTCTTTGTGGACATAAAGCTTGAATACGCCTCTGTCATTAATGAAAAAAACAGCTCATTTGTTCGAGTCGTAATGGAGATATTCAATTCTTTTTCTGTAAACTGACTTTTGCGCTACCATGTACTTTTCAGTTATTTGTTATATTGCTCTTAGAATATTCAAGTAGAATTCGATGATCAAGGCAACCTACATCAAATCTTTAATTTAAATAAAAATATTAGTGTATCATTTATCAATCAAGGTTTCTATTGGTATCCAGGTATATCGACAAAATAGTTTGATGAGTCTATTTTTATTGAGTTTTGTAACGATTCAGGTTTTCCTGGTAATAATTCACGATCAAAATCTCAAGCATCAGGTGCTTATATATTCAGACCATTAACACCAAATGCATTACCAGTTAGTCAAACACGTTCAATGTACGAGTGTTTTCTATTATGTAGATATTTTTCATTTTCATCTTTCTCGTTACTTTAGAACATGTATAAAAACAGAAAATGTTCAAACAGCGATTATCGAATTTAATAATTGGGCAAGTCAAGAACTAAGTTTATATGATGGAGGAGAATTTGTTGAAGTTGAATGGACAGTCGGACCAATACCAATAGATGATGATATTGGTAAAGAAATTATCATTCGTTATGATACTGATATTGCAAGTGAATCAAAATATTATACGGACGCAAATGGACGTGAAGTTCTTGAAAGAAAACGAGATTATCGGCCAACATGGAATTATACAGTTACTGAAACAGTGAGTGGAAATTATTATCCAATAAATAGTCGAGTATGGATTAAAGAAAAAGATAGACAATTCACTGTTCTAACGGGTAAGAATGAACAAAAAACGAAAACAATTTCTTCAGATTATAAGAATGTCGACACGAGAAAATAGTGACCCGATTCACAGTTCCAGTGACTTTTCTGTCTCCAGTTAAATTGACCTCATTAACCCTAATGGAAATTCTTATATCTTTGATTAGTTGTTACATTTTATAGTACTGAACAGGACAAGATAGTGTTCAGGATGTGAGTCTCTCCTTATCAAATCCAGCAACCACACACCATTCACCTACACTCTAGCACTACTTAATTAAGAAGTTTGAAAGAAATTATTGAAGTCAACTATAGTACAGCTTGAAAATCCTAGTCTCCTGAAGACTCGAGTGATTTACCATATAGTCCAAACTGAAAACAATATTGTTTCGTTTTCTATGAAAAAATTTATAGGAATCTTAAAATAAAAATATAATTCTATCTATTAGTCTTTTATTCGTACAGATCGATCAGAAGGTGGTAGTAGTATCCAAGATGGCTCTATTGAGATCATGGTGCATCGACGTCTTCTCTACGATGATCAATTTGGTGTGGGCGAACCATTGAATGAAACGGCATATGGTGAAGGTCTTGTTGTTCGTGGTCGACATCTTCTTATTGTTGAACCACCTGCTTCAAGTGCACGATATCATCGTGTAGGCTCTCAACGTTTATACATGCATCCAATTGCTACTTTTTCATTAATTGAACAAGATTATGATATTTATTCAGCTGCTTATCATCAAACATGGTCAGCATTAAATGATACGTTACCATTAAATGTTCATTTATTAACACTAGATCAATTGGGACCAAAAGATTATCTTGTCCGTGTTGAACATTATTTTGAATCATTTGAAGATGATACATACTCACAACGATCTACATTTGATTTACAATCATTGTTTAAATCGATTGGAACAATTAGTAATACAGTTGAATTAACACTTGGTGCTAATTTACCATTAGCTGATATGAAACGACTTAATTGGTCGACCAGTGATAATAAATCATCTCATAGAACGGTTCTAAGTATGTTTTTTTTTTAGATAAGAAATTGTTTATTTGATTAAATATTTATTTTTAGCGAAGAATTCGTTATCAAATACAAATATTATGCTTATTCCGATGCAAATTCGAACATTTCAAGTGACAGTGGTATAGAAAATTGCTGTAAAATAATGATATATTATGATTTAATCATATTCATCTTGTTTTCATATATAGCAGGCATCCATATTTTCAGTTTTGAGTTTTTTTCTTATTGGGTTCATTTTTACTCATAATCTACAAAGAAAATAAATTTATGCGAATTGGCTTGATTCTGATCGTATTCAAAAATATTTCATGATTCTACCGATTTTTGTAGCTCTAGAGAAGTTCACTCTATATTCCAAGGCATAATGACGTAAGCAAAAACAATTAGACAGGGAATAAAGAAGAAATTAATGGTCAGAAATATTGTAATATTTTAAGTACGGATTTGCAGTTCATTATGTTTGAAGTTCTTTTTTGAATATTCTTCATGTATAAAAGAATACATCTGAGCTTTTGATAAGTACATAACCATTACCATTACTTATTACCATCTTTGTCTATTTGCATTACATGCTTCCATATAAAAAAAGTATTTAATCTGTAAAGTACGATTGTGTTTTTCTACTGTCTTATGTATAAACTTCACGAAAGCCCTTATTTCCCTGCCCTCACGCAAGAATCACGAGTTTTGTCAAAAAAACCTGATTTTTGAGATTTTTATGTCATTCAATAGTTGTTGTTCGCTATTTTCGAAAACAGTAAGATTTATCGAAGTTTTGCTTGACTACACAGTTTTACTAATAATTAACTGATGATGTTGGAATTAGAAAAAATGAGTTGGCAAACTTTGTTTTACGTTTTTTTCGAAATGGATTTTTCTGTTTTTTACTGACGAGATACTGTTGTTGTTGATGTGAGTGTGAACGTGGGGTGTTGATGTAGACGCTGGTGTGAGTCTAGGGTATGAATGAGAATCTTTTATTCTCTCACACCCTTATTTCAGCCTTTTGACGTAATAGATAAAGGATCACTAAAATAATGTCTTCCGACTTGAGTTCAATATATAATTATACACTGGCATGAAACAAAAAAGTGAATGAACATCTTTTTAAGTCGTTGAACATAGTTCAGTGCAGAATAGAAGTGTGGTTGTGTTCACACCTCACCGATGAGACTTCTATGATTTCTATGAAACTTGACCGAGTTCGTAAGGAAAAAATTGAACATCACTATGTTTTAAGACGATATAGCTCTGAAATATATTTACGATTCTCATCTGTAATAATTACAGACCTTAAACGGGTTTTTAGTCAAAAGCGGACGTCCCCTTATAGAGAGAGGTCATTAAGAATTAGACAAGATGGAGAGATGAGTTGAAAATAGCCAAATATTGGGTGTCTCAAAATGTTTGCACACTTTATTATTTTGCACATGTCTCAGCATGAATAAATGATAAAAAGCTTGATTTTTTTTCAAAAGATGCGCCGTGAAAAGCTCTACAAAAAATGCCGGAACAAATCTCTACTAACATGTTTTCATGATTTTTCCTATATTCAAAATGAAACACCTATATATTAGTGTTATTTCCCACCGTATTTAAAATAATAAAAATGTATGGAAGACGTCTTTTTATTTTGCATGTATCTCGACTTGAGAAAATGGTAGCACCTTGATTTTTGTTTTTCAAAAGATGCGTCATCGAAAGCTCTACAGAAGCTGTATGAGCAAATTCCTATTGTAAAATAAAAACGGTCTTTCAAACGCTTTTATTATTTTAAATATGGTGGAGATTAGAACTGATATGTAGGTCTTTCATTTTGACTATAGGAAAAATCATGAGAACATGTTAGTAGGGATTTGCTTCAGCATTTTTTGTAGAGGTTGTCACGGCGCATCTTTTGACAAAAGAATCAAGCTTTTTATCATTTATTCATGCTGAGATATGCGCAAAATAAAAAGTGTGCAAACATTTTGGGACACCCCGTAATTATGGACATCCTCTATGAATCACCGCAAAGATCATTTTCATTTGTAATCATCGCTGATATATTTCGCTCGTAATGAGATATTTCTAATATTTTATAATCGGATTCAAAAAGAATACCAGAATCAAACGAACCACTATCATACTGATTATCTTCATTGATGGATGTTATACTCTTCATTTTAGATTCGGCTCGATAGACTTGAAAGGATTTACCTTTGATACCCGAATCATCATTATTCTGGTATTCGATAATAGTATCACTAGATGGAGTCATGATAATCGATGCTACGAGTATGGCTTTGGATTGGACAACATTTTTTCCGTACTCACTTACATTTTCATTGTATCTTTCTACTGAACAGTAGGAGAATCTTTCGACAAAATACTGCTTCAGAATACTTATATTGAATTAATACCTATGTGTTCAAAATCAGCCCAATTACAATTATGAGTCACTTGAAGTCTCAATCAGATGATCATAAGCATGCTACGCGGGAAATTTATGAGAGATTCTGATCAATCATGTAAAAACACGGAGCTTTTTACGTTTAATTTTTATTAATCATTTCTTCTCTATGATTTCTTCACTCATTACCTTTTTCCTACGTAGCATTGAAACTGACAGTCAAATATTAGTCATAAGTTGATAGAACTGTTTTTCTTTGCCGAAGATTCTAAAAGCATCCGAACATGATTCATTTTTTCTAAGTTTCAAAGTGACAGACTTTTCAAACATGATGAAAGGAATGAATTCAAATCGTGTGTAGGATAAAAATAAAGATGAAAATGAAAATTCTTTGAATCAACAGTGTGGATCAGTATTGTAGTAAACTCGATATAGAACATAACGTTAGATTTATCATTTCATTTCTTCATGTTCTTTTTTTTGCTGACTTAGCAGAAATGCTTGAAGAATTTCCATCAGATATTGCTTGAATATATAAAAAAGGAACAAATTACAGAAAATAAAGTAATTTTTTTCAATCGTCAATAACATGATGATTATCCTGTTGCCGGCTGAGACTGTTGTTAAACCACCGGCACCTGCATTTGTACCTAATCCAGCGATTGGACCGAATCGTTCAGCATCTCCACCCGCATGCACCTGAAAGACGTTTTCCATGCGAGGAGCATCAGTTGATGTCATTGTTGATTCCACTAATCCTTTGACTTCTTCTCGAGGTTTACCCTATTGTTCCACTCTTGCTACTGTTCTTCGACATCGGATGGGGTAATTTTTCTCAAATGAGTCAAATGAACTTATTCACCCTTATTTTGTTGTTCTGAAAAAAAAATCATGTAATCGTCTGAGCGACATCATTCTAAGTAGCTACTATGATGGCACCTCTCTCTGTAAATATTGGTGAATCATTAGACTATTCTTGAGCGCCATCTTCAATATTTTTATTCCCTTGAGTGAGTTGCATGTGTCACCATACCAATGTTTCGTGTCAATGTCGAAATCAAGATTGATAGATTGCAGACTAGATTCTGGTTTTCCATTCGAACAAGTCATTCTATCTAATAAATTTCCGAGATTTGTTTCTGAGTCGATTAGTTTGCAGATGTTGTAGTAGTTATCTGTCGAAACTGGAGTACAACTACACGATTAAGGTTAATATAACCAAATGTTTAGTAAATATTTTGAATAGGGTTTATTCATTCTGATTTTTTAGCTTCAATATACAATAGAGCTGCTATTCTGTCACCAATGATCGGATGAAAAATTGATTATGCACTCGCAGATGATGCTCAGTAACGACATGAGATATTTCAATTACTCACATTGTATGACGAAACTTTTTATAAAGACGTTTTAGCGTCCTTGTCGTCGCAACCCTATTCGACATCAACAGGAACATTGACTCCGGATAACTGTTTAAGAGTCGCAGTTTTCTCTACCAACGGACCAATACGATGACTGACAAAGTATAGTTCATTTGAATTTTACATTTTAATAATCTTTTTTTTGTCCTCCGTTTTGTACGTTCAACTTGAAAAGAGCATTCTTTATGTCAAAATGGAACTTTCTACTGCACAATGTGGTTGTTAGTTAGCCCGAATGTTTATGAATTATCATTTAGCAGATGTGTTAAACTGTTGATAAGAAACTTCCGGTTCATTTACAGCCACTGTTTAGTTGTGATAAATAGTTTTCTTATTATTCCGGAATTGTTTTTAGTGCTTTCAAAACATCTAGTAAACTAAATACTCTTTATAAACTTTTCTCAGCATTATTAGTAATATATTCCACTTGAAGTTTTGCGAAAGTGAATGTGAATATGGGTGTCGGTAGTGGTATATGGGTATGTGCGTATGGTTGTTGTGCACGTAAGGATGTGGATATGGGTGAAGGTAACACTCATCCTTGTAATATGAAACTGTATTGAATAATAACTGAATTTGATGTGGTTAAGATAGCGAAACAAAAATAAAACTAAGATCAATATGCCTCTATAGCTCAGTGGTAGAGCGCCAGTCTTGTAAACTGGAGGTCCGTAGTTCGATCCTGCGTGGAGGCATCTAATTTTTATATCAATTTTTTTCAGCATCAAAGACACTTGTCGTGGAGAATAATAGATTATAATGAAAGACTAAAATGATAATTTATTTCACTGATATGAGACTTAATATAAGTATTGTTCAATTTTTGATCTAGTAGACTTGAAAAAGCAACAGCCTTCTCGAATACTTCAAGATTACGTTAATCTATTACAATCGCGAATTTGCTCTAAAATTTATATCAGGCAGAATTTCCCAGTTGAATGATTAAGATTCCTTTTCATCTTTAGTTCTACACATTTGAAAAAGTGTTGCATCAACGACTTAGTTCACTTGCTAACGCTTGAACTTGATAGTGAAGACGCCATATCAGAGTTTAGTTGTGGGTGTGGCTGCAATGCGACATTGAGCGTGGCTACCGTTATTTGTTCAACTTATTTCTTTCCTCATAGTTACATTTAAACATCATTCACATTCAAACTCGAAAAAACAATTAAATCATATATATAATTAATCGAAGAACAGCAAAATAAACTAATATCGCCATTTTTCTCATGAAAAGGATGTAGATGTGGATATCGGCCGTGAGGCGACTCATCCATGCATGCATCAATCTACATCCTCAAGTCTCGAAACTTTGAAATCTCACCAGAGCGTTGAAGATAGTTTCCAGCTTTGCAAAAGTGTGGATGTGGAGTACAGGTGGGTTAAGAACAGCAACACCAACAATCACACTCGTACCTACCATCCCACATCCACACTCTCAAGATGAAATTTCGTAACAAGTAATATTTTTAGTTTTTCTGTTCGATACAGTTTTGTTTGTTAAAAAATGAGCCAATATTCTGAAAGCATGTGAACAACTGATCAATTTTTATGTAAGACATTTATTTGCAAATCACTTTGTTTCATAGAAAAATGTTAAACTATTAGGTCACGTTCGAATAAATTTTCACTTTTGTAATTCCGTAACAACCTTTACTTTAAGAATAACTCAGTCCCAGACGAAAGAAAACAACAAAGGAAATTTTCAATGTAAAAGAAAGTGAAATTTCGTAACTCTTGGGCACGCTGATATGATTATCGTACTTTTTTTAAAAATGTCATGTGTTGATGCCATCAGTATGTGAAAACTCATCGTGTATAAGTTCGCTGTGTAATCAAGAGCTTCGCATAGATGCAGTAATAGCAGTGATTAAGAAACTCAAAAAAATTGCAGTTGACATTGATTTTGCTTACGATAATCATGAAAAAGACACATCAAATGATGATACCAATTCGTTTTAGAACGCTGTTATATAATGAGCAGTTTTATATAATTATTTTACATTAAAATAATTTCTCTCACCCGTTTTTATCTAGAATTTTAACAAAATCGTCTTTTATTAATGAAAAATATAAATCATTCCCAATAAAAAAATCATCGAAATTTCTGAAATCAGCAATATTAGTTGCTTGATTTCCAACATTAGATAAACGGTTCAAGTTTCGGGTATTTTTTGGAATCGTCAGGCTCTACAAGAATGTGCATGTGGATGAAAAGAAGACCCAGAACAACACCCATAACGATACCTATTTCCGTACCCACAGCCAGGTCTACACCTTCTTTCGCACACGTTCACATCCACTCCCTGCTTTTCCGCTTTGTATAACTGCGTTCAATTTCAGATCGAATTCGCTCCTACACACAAATGAAGGTAACTATAATCAAATAGAAACAGACTGTGTGATTGCCATATAAATGAAAAAAAAGAATACGTATCTCATCATAGTACTTATCATCATTATTGACACAAGTTGAGTTTCGCGCGATAAGATCCCATACTGCAGGTTGACTCGCACTACTTCTGATATACCGCAGTAGAATGGTGACCAGAGGATAGTCAACTATTAAATTATCAAATTACTGCCGGTATATCGGTGGATTTTTGTCCTATTTGAATCACTTGGGATTGTAGCTTTCTAAAACATACAATTACATTGCTTGATAAAAATCATGAATGAATTCAATAAGGAATTTCGTGAAGTATGTTGAATTTGATGCTTTTTTTAGACCTCCTATGAAACTTACTATTAGTATTGAAATGGAAGAAGGAAAATTTTTGGTGGAGTTTATGAAGTTATTATTGGAACTACTGATCCTGAGTCATTAATTAAATATTGGCAACGATTTGGATATCACGTCGGAGACAAGGGGAAACTATCAGAAGCAAATGCACTGCAACTTTATGGTGTAAAATCAAAACTTCAATCGATTCGATTACGTCATCAAAGTGCTGATCATGGATTAATTAGATTGTATATTTGGGATAAACCAACAAATAATGGACTACAACTATCTCCCATGAAAATTATTGGAAACCGTTGGGGAGCAATGTTGACCAACAGTATTCTTCGATTAGAAAATCATACTGAAGAAGCGAAAGAACAAAATATGCCAATGTATTATATTCCATCAGTCCGTGCAGAAAAATTTGTCTATTAAAAACGCGTCCTATTCCGTTTCATGATAAATATCCGTGCGTTCGAGAGATTTGTTTAATTCAACCATTCATTCGACAAATTCTTTTTCAGAGATCCGACTATCATTTGCCATTTTATGGTCAAGTTAATGAATCATCTTATTTTCAAACAAGTCAAATAACACATGTTGGTATGATCATTGACAATAACCGTGAATATTTGAATTTTTATGATGATGTTCTTGGTTTTCGACGTACTCGTGATGAAACAACTTGCACAAGTACTTTTGACAAACCTAGCAATCGAATGATATTCAATCTTCAAGAACATGAAAGTTATGCGACCACTGATTTTGACGACCCTCGTTCATCAACAGACGACCCTCAACAAATGCATTCAGGACGATTAAAAATTATTCATTTTTCAGACAAAACTCAATTGGATAACAACATCTCTTATGCTAATCCGGGCTCTCTTGGTTATTCTCTCTATACATTAAGAGTTAATTCTATTCAAATGTCTCATGAAAAATTCGAAACAGTAATGCAACTGATATAACTGATATTTGTCTGAATGAATTTGATGAACAATCATTGTCATTTATCGCACCAGATGGATATTGTTGGTCCATTTTACAATCAAACCGTGTTGAAGCTCAATAACATGAACATTATTGAGGATCAAAAAAGAAATAGCACCACTTATCATTATCGATTTCAAGCATTCTTTGTTTAAAAAAAAAACTTTTATCTTCCAATTTTGTTTTGTTATTTGATTAGAAGATGAAAATTGTATTTAAAACAGAATCCTCAGGATAGTCGAAGAGAATTTTTAGTTTGATTGATTAGTTGATGTTATAATACTACATCCGACGAGGGATGCTAGTGTGCAGTCAAGAATAGATATCGTTGATGTTAGAACTAACATCTTCTTCGATTTGTAAAATAAATCCTCCTTGAGAGTGAATTTCGTGGAAAGTTAAATAAATTTCATGATCAGTTCTCAAGTTGGTACTTGAGCTTGAACAACACAAGTGAAGCCGAATATCAATAATACTAGAAGCATTTTTTTCTCGATGGAGAGTGCACAATGCATAATTGTAGTCAACTTGTCAATGATAAAGTCAACAGATGATGTTGCCTATTGCGTTTGATATTCTAGCTTTAATAAGATGAGTTTCATTCTAACAAAGTTATAGTACGTCACATGCAAATGAACAACTTTATGTAGTAGCATAATTCTGCACAAACACTCATTTATTGATTTTAAATATTTTCTTTATTGTACGATCAATCGAATACATATAATGAAGTCATGTATCTATTATATCTTCTATTATATTTCGAGCAATGAAATGGTTGAATAATTATATTTCAATACACTCGTTCTATCTCCATGTTGTTCTGAGTTGAGAAGTTGTGGTTGTAAGTCTGGAAGAGAACAATATGCACATCCATAACTCATATCCTGTTAGTTTTGTGCAATTTTAAAAGCAACTTATTTATCACTTCTCGTGAGGAAATCACATATTTATTTGGAAAAACTAGTCAAAAAAAGGCACGTATCTTGTTCTATATCACTTGTTGCGAGGTATTCCATGAAACGTCTTCGAATAGTTTCCGTTTGCTTCTTAGTTTTGAGATATATGCAATGTGATGGACACAATAAACAATATTAGCAGGGGTGTTGGTGTGAGTGTGGGTGAGTGTAGAATAAAAGAAGCCCCACGTTCACCAATACCTATACCCACCAACACTTACAGCCACACCACACATCCACACCTACACGCCACTTTAATACCGTATAGTAAGCTTCATTTCTCAAGGGTTTCACATGGCATAATTCGATAAGCAATCGACTCGATCAAGTGTGCGGCAGGGTAGCGAACAAAAAATTAATGATTATATCACATTTTTTGCACCATTCATCAAATTTAGAGCGTGACATTTTTCTTGTATTACCTACGAAATGAGGCAACAAGATTCTTCTGACGAACGACAATCAATCAGTGTCAATTTATTCATTTCATGCTGAGCATGACTTTATGCAATGTTCAATTATTAAAGAGAGTATTAAGATCAAATACACGTGTTGTGAAACGTGCCATTTTTCAAATAATCTCAACGTGTTAAACTGATGTGAGCATGTGTCTTTGATTTTCAGAGATAAAACTTTTTATTGCCGGCAAATCAACTCAAGAAAAATCGGATAGATATCTAAAGGAAACAATGACAATGTCTGTAAGTACCATCTACTAAATATTGACGCATATACAGATAATGGTCGGATATCATCTATATAAAGTGTTCATGCTATTAAAAATCTAGAGAAATGGTCTTCATCAACTCATCCACATCAAATAAAACAGTAGTGTTTGTAGGAACTCGCGTTTGAATAGAGTAAACACACTTCCTCAGTGTACAACGCTCAACAAAAGCGTTAAGACACAACAATAGTGAAGGAAAGATGAAAAATTATCATTCTGAGATGTTCGAATTAAATAAACGAATGACTCTCGCAATAAAAGTGCAAAAATATTTCCATTATCGAATTAGTTTTCTCTTCACATCTTTGAATTGTTTTCTCTCGGTCAACAGGATTTCTAGATAGATAAAAGCAAACGCAGCTGTTCACCTTCCTAGACAGAACTAACGATAAATACGTCTTTTATAAAATGTTGATGGACAATCAGTTCTTAAATATTTAAAGACAAAATCAAGACTCTATTCAAATCGAAAATTTTTCCAATTTTCAGTTGTAATATTTCAACTAACTGCAAATTAAGAATAGAAACTGATACATCCTTAATAAAGAATTAAGGAGCAAAATTCAGGCTGATGAATTGCAGAATACCCATTTATACACATAGATTTATCAGTGATTAATGCATATTAAGTATGTAGAAATATCAATCAAAATCAATCCAAAAACAATGATTAATCCATGATGATCACATAATACGCTTTTGTAATAAATATTTTATGTCTTACGAATGAAATAATTTATCAAGCTTATTAAATTTAGAGTGATGATCATTTGTCTAATATCGAGTTGAACACAGTCAATGCAAATCCTATTTCAATAACAGCTGCCTGGAGGTATGGACATTATAATTTATTCATATAATGCTTTTGGATCAGGTAGTTTGTATTAAATAGACACATTATATCAACACGACTTCGTGCGATTATTCTGACGGTTATTGTTGGATTAGCCGTCGTGACCACAACCGTAATTCGATGTGTCATTTTTTTGAGAACAGATACATTACCAACATTATCAACAATAAACTCAATTGGTAGGTTCATAAAAGAATAATTTAAGTGCAGACGATAGAATTAATGTTTCGAAGAAGGCGGGCAAATAAATTATTGTCCAGTTATTATTGGGTTTTGTATCATTGTGTTAAAATTGAGATAAAAATGCATGCAAATTTATCTTATTCAAGTTGATATTTTTCAATTAGTTTAATAGGCTAATCTCGAACACCTAGAGAAGGATAAATAACATCAATATTCAACATAATTAATGAAAACTAGCGTTTTATTAGATGAAAAACAACTTGGATTTCACTTGAAATATAACGAATGCTTCTTAAATCATAATCAACTTTCTTTTTTTATGTTCAACAATCCTGGCTACAACAACACCAACGACGCTAGCAAATATAATGACAACATCGGTGTAGATGAAAACAACAAGAACATCAGTACCGACTTCAACAACAACAACAGCAAGTAACAAAAGAAGAACTAATAAATTAGAACTCCTTGCAGATACTCAAGAGAAGATGTTTGATAAGATTAAAAAAAACTGGCTTACCTTGTTTTCGATAGTACGATTGATTTCCAGCTTTAAAAAAATTTAGGAAGAGTTTAAGTTCACAATAGAATTTTTCCCACACGTAAAAGTGGCTTCTACCAAATTCAACATATTTTCTTTCATAAAACTCAAGTGAAATGATCCATTTTAGTGGCACTTTTTTCAAGTTCTAACAGTTAAATACAACAATTATTTTATCACACAAGAATGTATAGCTTCAAATGTGGAATATGTTTTGAGATTGGTCTGTATCAAGGCTCGAAATGAGCCGCCCGGCTCGGTCCGACTCGACCAATGGAGATTTTTTTGAGTCGGGCAGGGTAAGCTTTTTGTCAAGCTAGTCCAGCCCGACGTTTAAATTCTTTTTCTATTTTACTTTTTATCATGCTTTACGCTCAGCGTTGTAACTAGTAGGGTTGTTTCTTTACTGGTACCAATGTAACTAGACCGAACCGACTGGTACACAGACATGAACCAGTCTTCTTTCTCTTAACCCTATTACAGCATGTATTCCTTCTAATCATTACAGTAATGATATAAAAACACTATTTCACAACTATAGTGCTTTCCACTATTTATCTTCGTATGTTCTCTCTTTCTTGGCATCTATTACTGGATAGAAAATTTCACAGGACTACGAATTCTATATTAATTTTGTGCTTCGATTAACTGTTCATCACACATCGACACTATTTACTAACTGTATACTTAATCCACCTTTCACGCTTTATTTCCTCTGTTACTTCTTATGTCTGTAGAGAATATATACTACAAATGGAAGGAAATAAAGATAACTCTATGATAAATTACAATGTTAAATAGTTATTCAATTTTTTTAATAACATATAATGTCATACCAGACTAAGTTAAGAAAATATAACGAGGATACTATGACAAATTTTGATCTAAGAGAATAGCTTGACGTATATTTCCTTACCTAAATTGTCTTCGACATTAGAAAAAAGTTTTATGATAGCAAAAGTACCTGAATTTAAAGTACAAGCAATATAATAAACCATAGTTATTACTTAAGCCGATTGTATCTATTGTCCATGCGTAATGTTTTATAGTGTATAAACCACGTTAATTAGTGTGAAAATGTGATTGACGGAAAAATGTGTCGGAAATACATGATCGTTGAGAGTAAGAGTCGCAAATAACACTTAATCTATCTTATTAACTTTGATTGACGAGTGGATTCATGGGAAACAGATCGTTTTTCTGGAAAAAGAACAATTCTATAGTTTTGTATCATAGAATTTGAGTGATGCATGATGATCATCGTATTGAGTTAAAATAGCTCACAACATCTTTTGCTTGTTCGTTTGATTCAACAAGCAATCCGATTTTTGTCGTATTAATTTGATTTCAATTTCGACAATCTGATCTTGTCAAATTCATAGTAACATCGGCTGTTTTCTACTACGCATATTGGTGTTTACCAAACTGATCTCCAAATTCTATTAGAATGCCTTCGTCAACAAACTTTTCTTCAAGCTCGAGCCGAACCGGACGAACACAGAAATCTCGAAGTACCTTGTCGATCCAGACTGAACGAAAGTTAAATCAAACCAGACGGGCTTACACAATAACCGAGCCATGAAAAAACGGTCTGTTTCAAGCTCTAGTTTATATTGTATCTAATTAGTTCAAAGACGCTTTCAGATGATTATCTGTTTGATTCGATTGTTTGAAGTAAACTTATGTTTCTTCTAGATTCAAACAAAACTACAAGA